TTTTACTGGGTTTTTTTAATTAAAAAAATTTTTTTTGATACCAGTTTTCCTGGATAGACTATATAAGTTCAGCATGTCTAGCACATCTGTCTTTTTTTCTCACTGTTGCATTTAGTACAACATTTAAGTGAATGGAGTTGTGAAATATTCCTAACACTTTAACTTCATATTTTGTCCTGGTCCTTTTGAGATAGAGTCTCCCTGTAGCCCCAGCTGGCTAGAACTCGCTATGTAGACCAGGCTGGCCTTAAGCTCAGAGAGATTCACCTGCCTCTGCCTACCAAGTGCTGGGATTAAAGGTGTGCACCACCACTCCCAGCTTTTACTTCATTTTTAAACCTGTGAGCGTTTACTTTTTGAGATTAAAAGTCTTTTACAGGAGAATTTTTTAATGTACATTTTAAAATTTTATTTTATGTGTATATGTGTATTGCCTGCATGTAGATAAGTGTACCCATGTCATGCAATGCCCAAGGAGGAGAAAAGAACTGTCGGATCCCCTGAAACTGGAGTTACGACAGTTGTTAGCTGCCATGTGGGTGCTGGGATTTGAACCTGAGTCTTCTGCAAGAACAGCCAGTGTTCATAATGGCTGAGCCAACTCTCCAGCCCCTGCAGGAGAATTTTTTAAGAGGGCAATGCACCTTTGTATTGCCTGCATGTAGATAAGTGTACCCATGTCATGCAATGCCCAAGGAGGAGAAAAGAACTGTCGGATCCCCTGAAACTGGAGTTACGACAGTTGTTAGCTGCCATGTGGGTGCTGGGATTTGAACCTGAGTCTTCTGCAAGAACAGCCAGTGTTCATAATGGCTGAGCCAACTCTCCAGCCCCTGCAGGAGAATTTTTTAAGAGGGCAATGCACCTTTGGCAAAATATATACAACTAGATAAACTGAAATTGCAGATAATTCTGGTTGCCCTTCTGTGTACTCAGGTTAACAGTCAGCTCTAAAATCCAAATGAAACTCGAGCATTTTTAAAAATCTACAGAGCAGAGGTGGAGGTTTTTTTTCATTTGTTTTTGCTTATTTTTAGCTGACAAAGTTAATAAGTATATTAGACCTAAGTTTATACTGTAAATGTTGAATAGAGATGAGGTTACATCAAGTCATTTTTTTATGATTAGTTTTTTAAATTTAACTTAATTTAAAAAATATTTTATGTATAGGAGTGTATTGCCTGCATGTAAGTGCAATGCTGTGCAATGCCCATGGAGGTCACAAGAGAGCATTGGATCCCCTGGAACTGCAGTTATGGGCAGGTGTTAGTTGCCATGGGGGTGCTGAGAATTGAATCTGGTTCCTCTGAAAGAGCAGCCAGTGCTCTTAACTGCTGACCAGCCCCTTTATTGTTTTGTTTTTGACACAGGTTCTTGCTTTGTAGCCCTTGCTGGCTTGATACTTGCTATGTAGACCAGGCTGGCCGTAAACTCACAGAGATCTGCCTCCCTCTGCCTGGGCTGGAATTAAAGGCATGTACTACCACACCAGGCTCTAATGAATTTTACTCATGCATTTAAAAATAAAAAATTTGAATTAATCCTGCTTATACACTACATTTTAAGAAAATATTTAGTGATTATGTTTATGTTTAATGTAAACGTTTGGAATTATAGGATATGCTTTTCACAAAGCACCTATTTCAGTTTTTTACTTTTCATAATATTTACACTTGACTGTATTTAGTGAATGGTCTCTCTATTGGTTCAGTTTCTTTGTTGCATCTCTCATTTTAGAATAAACTATTTTAGTTCTTGCTTTCAGTACACAATCTAATTGAGTTTCTTATTCATTTTTCTCTTGGGCTGCTTACCCAGGGGAATATTCTGGTGTGTATGCTTTTAAATGTTTTCATATTACTGCTTTTTATGCTAGGTATTTTGGGCTGCTGTTTCCATTCAGTG